AAGCAGCATAATGCATTGTTTGTTTATACATAACTCAAATAATTTGGTCTGTCTCATGATTGACCAGTACTGACGTTTCGACTTCTGTGTCACGGGCCTTCACCAACGTAAAAACGTTGATTGGATTCAGAAGTATTATTGCTCGTTTGAAGCCAGAGGCCAAACTTTTGTTTCCATGCGGCTGGTTGAGTGTTTATTTGACCACAAACAAACAGACCAAATGCTCAGCCACAGCATCTTCAGTTATTCAATACAACGGTATAAAATATTTCGGATCATGCAGTACCTGGGGAGCCAAAATTTGCGAGTTTACTAGAACTAAGACCTGCTTTCTTTCTATTTTTATTGTTTGCCGTCGTTATGTGACATTAACAAAACTTAGACAGCACAGCAACCCGGCTCATGATATCTGTCCTGTAAAAGTGCTACTTCAGATTATTATTAAACAACATCCACCTCTGCGGCAAACGTCGTATTCCACAGTCCTTCCACTTGTTTGGCGGCCAGTGGGCGGTTCCCATAAGACAAAGGTTGTGGATAGATATATTAGCATTTTCATTTTTGGCCGTTTTATCGAACAAAACCAGACACCGGTTTGTCTCTGAGTTAAGCGGATAGCTTTCTCATACAGGTGGTTTATATTGTCCCGTTGATGAAGCATCATTATAGTATGGTTCCAAAAGTCCATTATTAATGATGTTGTCATTATTTGGCTTTCTATCGTTTCGCGTTGTTATTTATTGCATTCAGCCTAGTAATGAGTTTCATCAGCTAGACGAAATAGTTGCGAAACGTATGACAGGTTTGTGAAGAGTGAAAACAGAACATTGCGGCTTTCTGTGTGAAGCATATGTCAGACTCACTTCGTCAGCGGACTTGCGTTGTAAAGGAACGGTCAAACATTGGCCTGTTAGTCAACGAATGAATCGTCGAACTTCGCTGACTAAAACCTAAGTTTTATCCTATGTATGAATTTGTACGTTAAATCTGAGTGCTGCCAGCTAACTTATTCTCATAGATTAATAAACTAACAGCTCTTGATACTCAAATGTTATATAACTGTTTCGCACAACGTGCTGTTTCATTTTCATATTTTATCCGGACCACGACACCCGTGTGCTGTTTCTAAGCAAGTTAATTTTTATGCATGGAAGAACTTCTTCCTTCTTTACAATTTATTGTTTTGAACCATTAATCAAGGAAATACCACCTAACTGTTACTGAAATTGGCGACGAATCGATTTCACTCTCCGTGCTTATCTGCATGAATATGTTACTTTCAAATTAGCTGACGTTTCGGATTTCACCGGACGTATCTTCACATGCTACACGAAGCAGTTTACGAAAACCGGTTGAACGATTCATTACCAGTAGTATATTAGCATCATCGGATACTGTCAGAACTCGTTATGGTCGTGGTATTCGACTGTCAGATAATGCGTCATTCGTAGCAAGCAATTCATCAGCTGATTTAGTAAATACGTCTGAATTTTTGTATCTGATAGCATAATAGTTTCAGTACGGATTATTGTCCACAGTGATCCCCTGTCCGGACCCTGAGGTCTGATTTTGTAATAAGACCGTTTTTTTTATTTAAAAATTGTCTTAAAAGAATTCGTTTTAAAAGGAGCTTGTCGTTTTGGAGCTCCTATTAGCAGTTAACAGTGCCTTTATTCTGCATGCTGCGGAAAAATTCACATAATATAACCAGGTTTCGACTGTACTTGCCAGCCCTTATTCGTCAGAATGGTTCCACTCACGAACGAAGGTAATTTCTCGAAAGTTGTGCCGCTCATTTGTCAAGTCTGCCAATAAGTGCCTTCTTGGTGTGAATGTCGGTTGTCTTAAAAGACATAAGACATAATGACGTCAGTCAGGATTTTCAACAACTTCCAAGTAACGCCATTACAAAACAGATGGACAAGTTCAAAGCTGTTGGATCACAATCGGAACTTTGACTGAAGTCCCATATCGCAGATTGAAAGAACCACTAATTGACCTTGAATGAAGACATCGAAGACTGCCCTCGGGTTGGACCGTTTCACCCATCACAATAAATCTTTGCAACATCATGGGGGCTCAATAGACCCATCGTCCTTCTGCTGCTTTCATAAGGATAAGTTTGGCTGGTTGCATTGTCACTTTTGCAGTTAGGCAGTCCCAGTAGTCTCTTATCAGTTAAGGTCACGGAGGCAGAAGAGTAGCTTCAGACAGTGTCCCCCAGCGTCCACGATCTTTTGCCAATGTTTGAGTTCTGGCAGAAGATAACCTGAGCCTGAAGCAGAGTCTATCGATGCAATTGCCTGTGGTCATTTTTCGTCGTCCTCGTAGTCGTCCGCCATTTGGTTAAGCAAACAGCAAATTTAAGTAATCTGAAAAAGTGGCTAAATTTTTATCAAGAATAAGTGAACTTTCCATATTAAATTATAGAATTTTTTCTAGTTTTAAGTTTGTCGTTAAAGGTGTTTACCACTGCGCAAGTTGTTAGTACTTTTAAGCTCCATCTCAGCGAGTAGATGCTGTTGCCAAGTCAGAGTGTCTATGAGTATGCAGTACAGACTGTACAGTTCTACAGTAATTGACCAAAATCTTAGTATTCGTCAGAGTGCATAATGCTCATTAGCATCTATGTTACATGAGGGATTTTGGTGCAAAATAAGCACGAGATAAGTTAGCAGTGCACCCTCTATATCTCGCCAAAAAGATGTTTGATCCGAGATGTAAAAAAACCGGTCAGCTACTATTGACGACCTTAATAGTTAGCCATAACCAATTTTACTTTCAAGAACACCCTTAAATACGAGCTGGCACGTCGGTATTTATCTGTCATCTGATATACCAGCACTATTTCATGTTTTACAAATCTTATTTATGTTATATGTCACTACCAACGGTCCGTGGTTTTCAGAATAATCTGTATTTACTAAAAGCTCAGTATTTTATTGAAAAAGATTAGTCCACAGATTTCATTAAACTAAATCGCTGACGCAGTGGCGCAATCGGTTAGTAGATTGCTTTGCACAGTGTTGGGTTCAAGGTGGACAAATTTTCTCTTATTAACTACTAATTCTCTTGAGCACGCAATTCACCCTAACTCCATTTCGTTACAACCAGCAGAAAATGGTTGTTCACCGACGAGTATAGTTATTTGGAGATACATACAGTATGGTAATTTGGTGCGGCCATTCCAAACTCACGAGTCATTCGATCGTGCTGTTTGATGCGTGCGGCTTCTGATTGCAGTTCGCCCTCACCCTCCTCATGGCGAAAAATCAGAACAAGGTGTGAGCGTAAAATAATTATATATATTGTTGTCCAATGTGATGCACATGCTTCCGGACATGAAAACTCAAGATTATTATAATTGAGTATTTGTATACATGTAACTTGCTTACAGTGTGTTTGCACTGACTGTCACATAACATCCCTGAAGACTGATCGATCTGAACCGTCGAAATTCTGTTTTAGAACTTTTTTGTTCAGATTTAAATCTGTTGAACGTTTTAGCGATAAACAATTTTCCAACCATTTACAAAATTCAAATAGTTTAAAAATTTATTGTACTATAAAACTG